TCAGCAATAGGTTTTATTGCTTTTTGAATCCTTTTAGTTCTAGAAACTTGATGGAAATTATTCTTATCTGCTTGGGGGGGAGGGGAGGGGGTGCCATCTTGTCACAGGGTTCCTATGGTAAACTGGAATGCAGTCCCAGAGTTCTAAATTTCCTTGCCACGGTGACAAAGTTGGGGAACTTCTCCCTTTGCTGCCTGGACTTGACATCAGTCTCCAGTGGCCTCCTGCAGCCTGTGGGAAGCACCCCCCGCCAGGCTGGTGTGCCTTCGATAACATCAGACCCCCATTGCTTGCTTGCCTGTTTTACCTCAATCTGTTTGTAAGCACTAACCAGCCTGAAAATCCCTATGGGATGAAAGAGTTAAGTTGTTTGAGAATAGGGAAAAGCAGAGCAGAGTCAAAATGAGCAAAACTAACCCTAGCTGTCGCTCAGAGGGGCTCCAAAGGGCAGTAATTGCACAAGGTGAACTCTGTTCATCTCAGCTCCTGGATTTTCACAACAGCACAATTAAGAAAGTATTGAAGTATGTCCTTAATGCTGTGGTGAAAGAGCCATTCAGGTTTTGTGGCATGTCCCCAGCACACCCTTGCAGAAGGGGGCCTTATTGCTTTGCTTGCTTTCCCTCAGCTGACTACCATCTCAACGCTTGAGCTGGATGGATTGCCAGTGTACTTGCCCTGGAGAGCTCTTTGAACTCACACCTCTCTTGTTTCCTTATTGAAGGGTACAATTTCATCTTTTTTCCCACAAGCAGCGCTGCCTTAGAGAGTTCCTGCCTCTGCACCATTCCTGTGGGTGTGTCAGCGCCATTGTTTGCAGGGTCTGACTGTCGTCCCAGCTGAGATAAAAATAACCCTTAAATGAGGTGGTGGTGGGGAGCAATTCCATAAGCTGGTGGTGCCTCTGATATAAGAGATGTGGGACCAGATCCTGAGGCCAAAGCTGGGTGTGCATTTAAGTTGACTACAAATGCCCTCACCTGGCCCTTCCTTCCCCCTGCAAGTGCTCATGCAGCTGTGTAGTGAATCAGACTGGAGAGCTGATCTAGCTGAATAAGCATCTCCTTGATTATTTTGCTTTTTTTCCCCTGGGTTATTTTTTGGGCTTGCTCTGTTCCTAGATTTGGGATTCACTCCATGACAGATGTAAGGGGGAGGGAGAGAGGGGAATGAGTGGTTGGAGGTGGACAGTGCTGCTTAAACCAGCTGCTGGATTTATGTCCTAAGATGCTAAATTTATGGCCTACGGTGGCTTGGCCTGAGATGCTTATATTCTGCAAATCTGGTACCTTTCTGACACGAACACCAGCCTCCCTAGAGAAACTGCATTATTTATTAGGTTTTGCTAGGAGGTAGTTCTGTCTGGGAGATTAGGGCTGTTCCATACTCCTTTGTCATGTACTTTCATTCCTGTGTTGTCTGAAATTGGAGGACATGATTGCCAGAGTGTGCTGTGGTGCACCTTTTGCTGTCACTTGCCCGTGTGAAAATGGAGTGTGGCAGATGCTTCTAAGGGGGCCCAAGCCAAGAGTGGTGTTACCGACATCTCAGACTGCAAAGCAATGGAGAAACATTCTTCTGGTTCCCTCACTTTCAGTGAGATGGAGGCTGTAATATTCCTGATCTTACCCTGACAATTTCCAACCATTAAAACCATGTATCTTCCTCATTTTCAGCAATCCTGAATGTCAAGAATAAGAGCATTGCTCTGAGTAAGTAAAAGTACTAGCAGCAAGGCCTATGTAATCGGTATATCATAGGTGTATGCATCTTGTATTTATGACATATAGCCCTTGTACAACAGCCTAAGTAAAAACCATAAGGCCACATACAGTCATAGAGGTGAAAGGTATATGGTCATATGCAAAAATACAGATAGATTTGTGCATGGTAATATTCTTAGGCTAAAAAAAATTGCTTTGAACAATGACAGCTGGAAGCTTTAACTCAGGTTGTAAATTAAAAAGGAACATAGAATTTAAAACTGGGTTACTAGTGGGAGATGATTCTTGCACACAGCTGCTGTCTTTAATGAGCAGCATCAACATGAGAGGAGGAAAGGCAAGAAAAATGGACCGAGAAAGAAAAAACAACCAACCAGTTGAAATATGGCTCTAATGGATGAGGATGGAGGTGTTCCTTGTAACATGTCTGTGATTCCTTTCTTCTGAGAAAGCGTAAATAGCCAGTCACTCAGAAAAGCCCATGGGGGATTCAGGTGAAATTTGGCTTTGGAAGAAATCTAGGCACATAGGAATTCTCTGGCTGAGAAATGTCAGAAATTGGATGCTATATTGATCATTTAACGTTGCTTTTTTGTGAGAAAAATAAAATAAAGCAGGTGGGCATAGAGTTCTTGTTGCCATCCTGAATTGCCTCATGTCCACGTGTTGAGCTGCATTAGCTTTGCAGCCCACTCTGCACATGTAATTTTACGGCACCTGCATTTGGTCAGATCAGACCACGGGCAACGTGAGATCACATCTTCCTGTAGCTGCCGGTGAGAAATATAGCCCTAATTCAACCAGTGCAAAAGGTGATACAACCCCTCTTCCTTTGATTTAAATGGAAGGTCATCTGTTAGAAACAGGTTAGCATGAGAGAGGATGCCCGTCTGAAGGCCAGCCCAACCAAATGCGTTGCTCTTTAACACGACGCACGTCCGTGTGCAGACAGAACCCCTTTGCCGGTGTGTTTTCTCATGCCTTGTTTTCCATCTGCAGTCTTTCCCAGCTGGCTCTGCCAAAGTTCCTTGGTCCTGAGTTTGGTTTCTCTCCATTTCAGCTTGTGTTGAGCAGGCAGTGCCTGTGCCTGGCCCAGCCTTCACTCACCTGTCCTAGCTGCCTGCCGCTGCTATTGCTCCTCGGACATTTCAGGGGTGTTCAGCCTTACAAGTGCGATGTTTCTATTCCACTTCCCTCTAGATAGCATTTTCACGCCAAGAGTGAGAGCAGGAAACTGCTTTAGTTTGATTTAATGTTTTTAAATCCCTGGATAGTGAAGAAGGGCAAAACTAGCTTTAAGAGTTCAGGCTACTCTGCAACCTACGCTACT